CAGGTTACACTTCTCTTTGTAAACTGCTCTAAAATGTGTGTCATCAGCTCCTTTATGTCTTTTTCTTTAGAAGATACAGATATTTGGTTCCTTGTTAAAGCATTCTGCATTCAGACTTCAGTTGTCCAGTCTATGCCAAGACCAAAACAAACCCCAGAAAAAAGGAAAAGATTATACAACATAACGCAAACATTTGCACCTGAGTGCACAAAGAAATGATGGGGTTGGTGGTAGTAATTTTGGTAGTCTGACCTGTTCTTTAATGTTCTTTTCCAAAAGTTTGCAAAGCTAGTTCATGCAGTGACAAGGGATGCCAAGGTCATATATAAAATTCTAGAAAAGGTAATTTTTGCATTTATATAGAATATACACCAGACTAGAAACTGGAAGACTGTGAGTTCTAGCCCCACCTCAGCCATGAAACCCAGTCACTCTCTCTCAGCCCAATTCACCTCACAGGGTTGTTGTGAGGAAAATGGGAGGAAGAAGGAGTATTAGATACATTTGCCACCTTGGATTGTTTATAAAAACATAATAAAAGCAGAATATAAATATCAAACAAACCAGCATATTTTTAACTATGGTTCACTGAGTAGGCCGTATTGGCTTAATACATATCACTAAGCATAATGGGTGACTTCATGCAACCCCCAAACCAAAACCAGGCAAATCATCACATCATGATTTAGCCTTAGGTGTGAACCAGGTCAGTCTCTACTTTTGCCTGATTCTGATAAGCCGCTCAAGTGGAATAGCTGCCAAATACTGAATTTACTTCTGGACACACTTAAGCCAAGGTCAAGCCCATTGCTGACACATGCTAAATATTAAATTCTTCATATCGCCGTGACTTCACCTAACCCTTGTGAAAGGCCCCTGGCCAACTTTCTCTATTAAAATCTTTGCTCCAGGCTTTCCTTCAGCGGGCTGGGTGTGTGAGTGAACTCAACCTGATCTTGCTTTAAATAGCCTATCGCCCCTGATACTGGTGTATTCCAAGAATTTCTCCTTGGCCTCTGCCATTGGTTTTAGAAAGGTCATACCCAAGAGATATGTACTGAGTCATTGTGAAGCCTCCTTCCCGCTTCAACCTCATCAGGTATCAAGAATCTGAGAACTAACTAGAAATAACAAGATGCCCTGCAACATGAGCTGTCTTTCCATCAAGAGACTCCACCCCACTTTGCCCTTGTGGACAGGTTACATGTAATAAATAAATTATGGCTAAAGTGGAGTGGGTTTGAGTAGTGCAAAAAGATAGATGTTTACATTCAGAAAGAGTGACAGAAATAACAGCCAGCTCCAGGGGAATGCTGCTAAGTCCTCACAACCTCTGGGTTTGCTTGTATGCACATGTTTAAAATTCTAGTGCTACTGCACTAAAAAAAACAACCCCATTTTGGAGAGATTCTAAGTATGGTGCTTAGATGTTGGGTGAAGAGAAGGGTTGACCCATCGTTCGCTATACAAACCTTTCTTGATCAGCCTCTCTGGCCTCTCACCCTTCTATTAAATTCCCAAGTAAGATGTCAAGAAGGAATTCTTGCCATGACAGTTTACTTAACAATGATGCAGTTAACACTATCAAGGGAAGCACCTACTTTTGAGAAAATGTTGGAAAACATCTTCTTTCTCTTCACAGATAAGTCTTTCTAGTTTTTCAAAGTTTGATGGAGCATTATAGTGAAGAAATAGCTCCCTTTGGTCATTTCACAGCTGGACTTGACAAACTACATTATTCTTGTCCCCAGTGGAAATAAGTCAATTTATTCTGAGTGCCAAATTTGCATCTCATGCCCTCCCTAACATGTGTCTAGGTCCTGTCTTATCCTCCTGCTCTTCAACAATGATAACAGAGAAGCCTTTTTAAAGGTCTGTTAGAAGTTGTCCATTTTTGTCTGGCTGGGTGAAAGCTCTGTTGGAAGGCTTTCATTCCATCTACTCTGAACACTTCTGAACCACCGTCCTTTCCATTCCCCAATTGTCAAAAGCAGTTTGAATTAAAAAGATTAAAAATTAAAAAAAAAAATCACTGATACAAGTTCCACACTAAGAAAAATCTTTCAGCCCTCCATGTCCAAAAAGAAGAGAAAAATATTAACAACCAAAACAGATTCTTGGTATTTTGTAGCTGTTTAGTCTCCTGCCCAGAAAAATGTGAAATTAACAGGATCTTGTTGATTTCATCCATACCTGCTTCTGTTATTAAGTGGAAGTTCTCAAGCCAAATTTTCACTTACAAGACAGATACAGATACAGATAATCAAAGTTGGAAGGGACCTTGTAGGTCATCTAGTCCAACACCCCCTCCCCCTGCCCAAGCAGGAGACCCTACACCAGTGATCCCCAACCTTTTTTATGCCGCGGCCCGGTTCCGGCATCAGCTGGGCGCCGCGGCCCAGTACCGGCATCAGCTGGGCGCCGCCATCTTTTTTTGATGAAAAAGTGCTTCCGGTGAGCTTTCTACCCGGAAAAGCTCACCGGAAGCACTTTTTCATCAAAAAAAGATGCCGGCGCCCAGCAACCAGCGGCCCGGTAGGAGTTGTTCCGCGGACCGGTACCGGTCCGCGGACCGGTGGTTGGGGACCCCTGCCCTACACCATTTCTGACAAATGGCAGTCCAATCTCTTCTTGAAAGTCTCAACTGATGGCACTCCCACAACTTCTGAGGGCAAGCTGTTCCATTGGTTGATTGTTCTCACTGTCAGAAAGTTTCTCCTTATTTCCAGGTTAAATCTCTCCTTGTTCGGTTTCCATCCATTATTCCTTGTCTGGCTTTAGAAAATAGCTTGACCCATTGCTCTCTGTGGAAGCCCCTCAAATATTGGAAGACTGCCATTGGTTTTAGTCATGCTATCATGACTCCCCTGGTCCTTCTCTTTACTAGACTAGCCAAGCCCAGTTCCTGCAACGTTCATTGTATGTTTTAGCTTCCAGCCCCCTAATCATCCTGGTTTCTCTTCTCTGGTAGTAGACCTGGTAGTAGACTTTATAGGAGGACAGCTGAATTAGTTTATGGTAGCAAATGTTATTAATTTTAATCTATTATTACATGTTATAAGTTATAACCTATACTGGACAGCGACACTATACTTTCTAAGTACTGAGTGTCAGGCCAATAGTTACATACAAACTACCACCCAACCCAAGCTCAAATAGATTCTAACAAGCAACAGGAAACAACAGGATAATGATACTATTTATTTATTTTATTTATATGCCCTCCCCCACATCTCACTGTACAAAATGGCTCTTGGTGACCCAAAATGACTAAGGGGAGTCAACTCCCTGCAACAAGGTTATTTTGCCCTACACCTATACCAACAGCATATGATAAACACATACATAATGTATGCACTTTCTTTGCTCTTCTTCTAATATGATCTATCCATCATTTGCCAGCAATGCATCTCGGGATTCTATGGAGGACAAATAGGACATACTTTGCTCAAAAGAATTAATGGACACAAATTTGACATCAGCACTCAAAACAAGGACAAAGGAATGGGGTGGGGCTCAAGTGCAGGAAATCAATCCCACAAAATGGACACATTATTCAAGTTGGCACTAAGTGAAATTATATTTCTATGGAAAATGTTATTTATTTGTTATATTTATTTTTCGCATTTCTGAACCACCCATCTCCTTCAAAGGGTAATTGACTGCAGCTCAGCAAACATAAATTTTGGCATATATATTAGTAAAATATTACAATATAGGATAAAGAGAATACACTTATTTAAATCTATGCTTAACAACGTCACTGTGGAGTTACAAAACACAAAATAAAAACACAAAAACTCTACCTTAGATTCAGGCTTTCCAACATTTCATCCTATTTTAGAGTTGCTATGACCATGTTTGATGTTGCTCAATTACCCAAAACTTTGCTCTAAATTAATTATTGAGCCTCATTTTTTTTTAAAAAAAATATTTTCCTCTGATGAAATCTTCCTTTTCTTCATTTTGCATACATGAAAATTTAGCAGCATCTAAAAGCACAACCACAACTGTGTGTGTATTAACCTCAATGATGCATTCATTATCCTCACATGAAGCGAATTTTGGGTGGCATGAAATGTGACCTTGTATCATTTTACAACTCACATTTGATTTACTTATTATTTGAACTCACATTAGTTGCATCCCGTATCAGACAATTTCAGACTTCCAAGATACTTCATTGCAGTTCTCAAAGTGACCATTCAGGAAAATTAGACTTCGACCCTAACATTGAGTGAGAGGTTGCTGAACTCATACAGAGATCAGGTGTCCCCAACCTCCAGGCTGTGGCCTACTGCCAGGCCATGGCCTGTTTGGAACTGGGCCACACCAGTAGCGGGCTAGAGTGGTCTATATGCAGCTCCACATGTGTGAGTGGTGGGTGCTCACACTGAACCATCCCCTCCTCCACTCACCGGACCATCATGACCCACTCGGAACCAGGCCACATGAACAGTGGGTGAGTGTGTGCACGCACACCGCATTACTTGCACGAGTGGCAGGTGCTCACACCAAAATGCCCCCCCCCCCACTATTGTGGACCCGCTGTTTTAGACTATTTTTTTGGGGGGGGGGGAAATACTTTATTAGTTTTACCTTTAAAAGAACAACACAGCTACAAGTTATGTACAACAAAAAGACAAACAGGCCTTAGCATAGGCCAAGAGGGAAAGAGAGGAAAGCCTAAGAGAGGAAAAAGGGAAGAGTAAGGGAGGGAAAAGGTAGAGTAGGGAAAACAGTTAAAATAAAACCATATTTTGTGACTGTCTGTAAGATCTTTTCTTCTTCACAAATATCATCGGCGGTGCTTTTCATTATCTCTGCTTCGAAGGCCCTCGGCCATAATTTTCCTAGAGGTGATCTATCTTTGGTTTAGCCAATTATACAAAGGATTCCAATTGTTGTAATAGGATGAGGATTCTTTATTTTTTAATGCTTGGGTTAGTTTGTCCATTTCGGCACATTGTAAAATTTTCTGAATAACCATCTATATAACCACTATCCTTATCTTGGGGTTGCGCTACTGTTCAATGAACGTCTAGTGAGGACAGTACTGCTAACACCTACACAACACTTTAGACTATTTCAAATGGTCTCGCAGTACACAATTTTTTGCCCATTACCACTGTTAATTGATAAGGTGCTTTTGATCTATCTCACAGGTAATGTGCTTGGTCTTCCCTACCTCCCATTGCCTAATACCAATTTCAGTCTTACATCAGTAAATCCACTCTATGCATCTAATGACATGAGCTACAGCTCAACACAAGCTCATGCCTTTTACTGGCATGAGCTTGTGCCACTGGACTCTTTTTTCTGATCTGGGGACGACCAGACAGAGTGTCTGAAATGTAACAAGATGGGTGTGGCCAAAATTCTCTCCCATGGAGCAATGGCCTGCCTCCAAGGTCTGCAGAGCTCCTGAATTTCCCCAGCCGTAAATCAGCCCCTGAGCAGTTCCTCATACACCAGAACTGAACTAACATTAATTGTTTCTTGGCTGCCAAAAGACATCATAGGGGTGCAGAACTGGCCCTGGAGCAGCATTATCCTCCAATATAATGTTTGATAGTCATCATGAGAAAGACTGTGTGAAGAGCATAATGTGCAATATTAGTTAATGGGATTTCCACTCATCTTTACGATTCTTTTAAAAATTCCTCACATGTACCAGTTCCAAGACACAAAAGTGTCATCTTTGCATACAGTCAGGGGTGGGATTCAACCGGTGTTACTACGGGTTCAGTGACTACGTTTTGCTGCGTGCACATGTAATAAGCTGTGCCACCCAGAGAGCTGAAAAGCACAGCACGCAGGTGCACAGCGTTTGCAGCGCAAAGCAGCTGAGGTTGAAAAAGCAGGAAATAAAGGTCAGGTAAGAGCCCGGGCAGGTGGGTGGGCCAAACAGCAGCAAACACAGAACTGGTTCAGTGTTTGCTACTCTTCAGAGCTACCAGTTCTATAGAGCTGGGCAGAACCGGTAGCACCCCACCCCTGCATACAGTTAAGATTCTAAGCAAGGCTCAGTGAAATCAGTTTAAGAGTCAACCCTTAATGCCTATGGTGTTTGCATAATGACCATGGCAGCCATTTTACAAAAGCTGCATTTGTTTAATGACCACCACAAGAAAGGTCATAAATTGGGTCATTCATGTGACCCACCCACTTTATGGCCATCATAACTTACAACTGTGATGGGCTGGCTCTATTATGGTTGTAAGTTGAATATAAGTCTATACACATTCTATGAACATATTTTTATGTCCTGTTATCGGTAAGTTAAGTTATATTTTTAATCTTTCATATTCTTTCTGTGATTCTGGCATCTTTACGTTCATGATCCAATGTAAAAATACGGTTTACTTCCAGAGTTCTTGTTATGGGAAAAATTGGAAGAGACAGTTCTACCTAAGGCTCCTGGAAGAAAGGCAGAACAAGATAACACCTTAAAATGGCGAACAGATTATAACGCAGACAAAGTAGCAGATAGACGCGCGCGCGCGCGCACACACACACACACACACACACACACACACACACTGGAGGGAAAGGAGGGAAGAGATTGCACATTGATTCTCCTTTGGGAAAACAGTGCTAACCAGAATTCCATTTTGCCTCCACAGAAATGTGATTGGCAGCAGTGTTTGAAACTTACTTTCCGTTCCCTTCTCCTCTCTTCCCTATTTTCAATATAGTCATGAGCCAATATTTAAGTGACACATAGTTCTTCTGGATAGGAAATTGCCTATCAGGATTTATCTATTTTTATCCCATTTTTATTATTGTTATAAATAGCTCAAAACAGCAAACATACTTAATACTTTCTCCTCCTATTGTTTCCACAACAACAACCCTGTGAGGTGAGGTGAGCTGAACAAATAGTGACTGTCCCAAAGTTACCCAGCCGGCTTTCATTCCTAAAGTGGGACTAGAACTCACAATCTCCTAGTTTCTAACTCGGTGCCTTAACCATTAGTTAAAAGCTCCAGAATTACCAGGGTTTCCCCTGATGCTGTCTCTATTTTGCTAACCTTCTTGCCAGTGAACCTCAAGTTTTACCATAAGTAACAGACCCATTCAACACTTTAAGAATTGAGAATAATTATAAGGAAGCTAGAGCACCTGGGGCAATTCTATAAATTAATCACCCTGGCTTCCCTTATGTGTATACATATGCTGTATGAATGAAGGATCCAGTTTGCAATTTTATGGGCATGTTGCATCAGGTTATGCAAAGTTCAGTTGCATCAGCTACTTTGTAACAATTGCACAATTGTGTCCCAGACCCTATCCAATGCCAAAATATACATCTGGCCATAAAATCTACTTACAGTGCTAAAAGTCTCACCAGTTCAGAGGGTACTCAATAATTCTCAAGGATTGTGATTTTGTTGGGCATTAACTCCTAGGGAGAGCAATCTATTAGGGAATGCCTATGAATCTCTAGTGCATATCAGCATTTATCAACATCATTTGTGTAGAAAGTAAACATTATTCATTTGGCTCCAATTCATTATTACTGGGTGATTGATGAATGAAATACTCCTGGACTCATGCACTTATGACAAAAGATATGAGAGCAGATGCTGTCTGAATTATCAGAATTTGTGTAAACTATTGCGTCCTTATGGAAATAGTTTCCAAGCTGGAAAATTCAGTACAAGCTTGACTGATATTTTTTATTTAGAAATTCTTCACAACAGTTTTGTCAGCAGATTTTATCTTATTAGGAACAGACCTTGCTGATCCTTTTCATTTCCTTTTACTTATTAGACTAAAATCACATCAATCAACAGTTCCTTTTAATATGCTTGCAACTATATGCTCCAAAACCATGTTTGAGTACATTTTTCAGGACTTAAAATTATCATCTCAAATTCTGATAAAGATGCTCCTATCTAATTGAGGTTTGGTTCAGGACACCACTTTGTCACAAATATGAAGTCCCTCTACATCATATCTAGCTATCACCTAGGTAGCTAGCTATCACAGTGGTGGGATTCAAAAAATTTTACTACCAGTTCTGTGGGCATGGCTTGGTGGACCTGGCAGGAAAAAGATACTGCAAAATCTCCATTCTCTCCCCACCCCACTAACCTGCTTTCCAGCTCCGTTCTCCAGTGCAGGGCAACAAAAGAAGACCCAGCCAATCAGCTGGGACTCGGGAGGCAGAGAATAGATGGGGGCGGGGCCAGTCAGAGGTGGCATTTGCCGGTTCTCCGAACTACTCAAAATTTCCACTACCGGTTCTCCAGTTCTGGTCAGAAGCTGTTAAATACCACCTCTGATCGATCTATCTATCTATCTATCTATCTATCTATCTATCTATCTATCTATCTATCTATCTATCTATC